AACCCCCTAAACCCCTAAACCCTCTCTGCCTCAACCCCAATCCTCAACCTGTCAGGAAAGCGTCGCATTGCCTTGGCCTAAGAAGGCCGAGGTCCCCCAGTCCTTGGAGATTCAAGGCGGAAAGTTTCAGAAATTAGGCCTTACCTGGACCCCAAAAGNNAAAATAATGGCCTTTATGGCTAATATTATACTTTGGGGTTTAGGTAGGCACTACTTCCTGGTTCTTAGTTGGGATATGGGAATGTATAGTATATAGGGATTGTGGGTGTACGGTTTTTGGGAGGTCGGGGTTTAGGGTTTAGGGTTATCTAGCGGTGAAGGATGGATGTCTTCGACGGGATGTAGATGGTGATGCGTCATGTCTTGTCATAAGTGGAGGTTGGCTTTTTAGCGGTAGTAAGTGTCTGTAAGGTCAAAGAACCTGGAGATTGTTCTATGTCTCAACATGAGAAGCTTCTAGGGAAAGGAGGTTCAGGGTGTTTCAGGATTACTAGGTTGCTGATAAGGAACTTAACTTAAGTTACGATATTGGGGAAACCCTATTATTTACTATATATACCCAGTTTGGTAACTTCATTTAAGTTCCTTAACAGCAACCCAGATTACCTTGTGCTTTTTTTGGGTGGTTTTTCAGCCGTGGAGCCCGAGCCGGAGTTCAGGGGGGTTGGAGGGGAGCCAGTGCTTCGCGAGGTTTAGGGTTGGGGTCATGGAAAATATAATGGAAACTACTATGATATATTGGGGTTATATTGGAAAACATAATGGAAACTACTATAATATATTGGGGTTTTTTTGGGGTTATATTGGGAAACTAAAATGGAAACTACTGTTTAGGTTTGAGACATAGTCAGGTGCCTGCATCAGAGACATGTCCACGGCGACTGACTATCATACTGGTCTGTTGCCCGGCTTTGCGCCCATTGGGCGCCGGATCGAAGTTCTCCTGCATCCAGGACCCACATCCACAGTCGAGCTTGTTGCGAAATCCAGAGCGAACTTGGGAAGGCTGATGTTCACGTTCGACACGGCTCGTTTTGCCAAGAGCTGGAGAATGGCAAGTCACCATTGGAAGGGTGACAGCCTATTCATCTATGATGGCCATTCCGTTTCAACGCGATGCCCGGGATGTGCCAACCTTGGACATTTCTTTACCGATGATCTATTTATGAGCTTGCTTGCGATGTTAGAGACCGGCGTTACAGTAAATCGCACAGTGTCAAACCTTCTTGCAACAGAGGGCAGGAGACCAGTCAAAAACTTCCAGCTTGACGTGCTAAGATCTGTGTTTAACGACCTTGAACTTATGGGTCCGGATGAAGTGCATTGCTTCGAGAATGTGCGGATCGCCGTGAATGCGAAAAAGGTAAATGCTGAAACGTTGCAAGACCGTGAGTTTTACAAGCCGTGGGGTGTGTCACAGGCAACGCTACGTCGCTTCAGGGCTCGGGTCGTGCAACCACACAGTTCCATCATGGAGCCTTTCCAAACCCGAGCAAGATTCGGAAGGGTTCTCCTGGACGGCCGACAGAGCGCAAAGCGGCGTAAATGGACGAATGCTGTGGAGGCTGCTGCAACGCTCGGCGCTACGATTGTTGATCTGGGTCCGCTGACGTTGCAGGAAACGTCTCAGATGCTGAAGGATGTAAGTGTTTTCGTGACCCCAATTGGAGCCCAACTTTGGCAACTCCTCTGGCTCCCAGCAGAAGCATTGGCAGTCGTGATTGGTTGCCTGAGCTTTGAGAACGAACTCGACTTCAATGTTTTGAAGGACTTGGGGCTTAAAATTGTGGACGTGGCAAGACAAAATTGTCCCAATGACTCAAAACATGTTTCGGGCTTGGCCTTGCCAAAAGTAGATTCTCAAAATCACCCGGTCGTGGCACTGGGGCAGCGGTATGGTGCTGTCATTCCTCCACATGACCGGTACGCTTGTGCATTTCGGTTTCTGGAAACCTCACCGTCAACGGGGCGCTTTCTGGTTGCTCTACCTGTGCTGGAGGTTCTGGAAGGGGTGAGCCTCACTGCAGCCATGCAACGATGCAACTGGATCAATGTTTGGGATCCTTACTTTTTCGGGTATGGGATTCCTTATATTTATGTAAAAAGGATCCTTTTTTCTTTCTAAAGTACTGTGAGTCAAGGCATCGATTGGGACTATGACTGTGAAGCCGTGAGGCCGGTTTCATCAACTTTCGAGCTCTACACGCAGCTTTGGGCCGTGCCACGAGCTTCTGGGTGGCGGTTATAGGGTTTAGGGTTTAGAGTTTAGGGTTTAGGGTTTAGGGTTTAGGGTTTAGAGTTTAGGGTTTAGGGTTGATAACCTAGCTTTGTTCCTCTCCCCTGTATAAAGAGGTAGTTTCCATGTCATTTTCCCATGTTCTTTTCCGTTGACTTAGTTTAAGTTCCTTGAGCGGCCCAGGAAAGTCCTGAACTCTAAGCCCTAAACCCTAAACTCTAAACCCTGAACCCTAAACCTGAAGCCGTTTCCCAAAGTAGAGGGACCCGAAATAAGACCCTCAAATATTATAATCCTTTTGGAGGGGGCCCCAAAAAGGTACCCCTAATTTTGGGAAATCCCCAACCTTAAAGCCTTAGTCGCTAAACCCAAGACCCTAAACAGCCCATATAAACCCAGGCACCTGCATGGCAGAAACTCTCCTGTTGTGAGACTGACAGCTTTGGCAAGTGCCCTTTGCCCGATCGACGATTTGCCGCCAAGTTCAATGTTGCTTACTGGTAGTTAGTAGGGTTTAGGGTGTAGGGTTTAGTGTCATATAGGGATTATCTTCCTTTATTCCGTATACTCACCACCAGTAAGGTTGACGAGGTTGTGGTCTCTCGGTCCGCGTTAGGGGAGCTTGGGTGTTTTTTAACCAATACCTTCACACTAATATTAAGCCCACTCCGTCTTGGGGAAGTTTTCAGACTTTGGGCGGGGGCGGGGGCGGGTGTTCAGTTCGAGTGTGACCCTAAACCCTAACATGGAAGATGCGGACTAAGGTTTCAGAAGAGGCGCTAAGCTTCATCAATCAGACCATCGAGGATTTTCGTCGCTTGCAGATGAAGCGAAGAAGTTTGCGAAACTGCGGATTTAAGATTATTGTTTAGGGCTTAGGGAACATGCGTGCATGGCGAACTAGACCATTCTTTGAGAAATTGTTCAAAATTTTTGCACCGTCACAGGAGTGCTCGTCAATGACCCGTTCTTTCATAAAATGGGCACTATCCTCCTTCAAATGAGCCCTAGTCCAACTCCTGATTGGGCGTTCTCTAGAGGATTGTATACGGGAGCATTGTAGGGATTATTAAGGGGGATACTAGGAGCTTTTAGACCCTAAGCCTAAACCCATTAAACCACACCACCGAGGCGGGGCGCAAGTTCTTCCCCCCAAAAGCCGGAACTTGTCCTTTATTGGAGTTCCCAAAATAGGGGGTACTTTACAGGGGTTTATAGGGGGGCTATATAGGGTTTAGGTATTAGGGAAATTTTGCTTCAGGGTTTCCCAACACACCAGGGGGCACCTTTTCGGGGGGCCAGGAACAGAATATAGTATTTGGGAGCTATATTGGGGTCCATATTCATGGAAACTACCTTACTGGCTTAATGCACACGCGGTCAAAAATCGAGAGAATTTTCTTTGCACAGCTGGCACAAACTCGAGTGTATTCTTCGTACCCATCCAAATGAAGGCCAGGCTTTCTGTCTCAAAGGGTGTAGCGTTTTGGGTGATGCAACCCTCTTACATGGAGATTTGCAGGCACTTAAACGTGTAGGGGTAAGTCTACTTGGGATGTGGGAGTCTCATATCACAAAATATTCAGTATTCTTACTATGGGTGGGTTCCTTACAAGCGCAACTTAACACAAGTTCCCAAACTGCGGCCCACATTACGCTGGAATTGCAAGACCTGATATTTAGGCCTGCTTACGTCAAGGTTTTGGTCATAAGAATTTTCACCAAATCCCGCTCAAGAATTTGCCCAACCCATTAGGGATGCCCAGCTCCCTACTGTATCTGCTCGCATTCCGACATCCGTCCGAAACTTGTGCTCCAGACGCAACCAGGAACATACTGCAGGAGCCTAAATGATTAGGATTTAGGGTCTAGGGCTTAGAAATGATTTCAATAGGGTTTAGGGTAAAGAAGTTACAGGCCTAATTAGAATGGAGAACCAGAGGCAAAGAGCACGAAACTTAAATGGAAGCTGGGGTTACCACAGGTGTTTATAGGGAGTTAAACCTGGGGGCTTAAATACTTAGAACAAGGTTTTGCGCTAATGATGTGCTGTTACGGTAAAGTAAGCCTTGTGAGGAAAGACATGAGTGGTTTGGGGGCAGAGGTCATACAGTGGCTATTATAAAGGAAATCTTGCAGCATGATTCTTGGGGCACAGGCTATATGAGGTGGTGCAAGATTTCTTCGATCCCCCATAGACCCAAAACCTGAACCCTGAGCCCCGAGAACTAAAGTCTAAACCCTATCCGCTAAACCCTTAGCCCTGCCTGAACCCCAAAAGTATGTAGAATAGTTGCCTTGTGGGCTGTTGTTAGGGGTCTGGGGCTATTATTTTACTTACTTTTGGGGTTAAACCCTAAACTCTAAACCCTAAATCCCTCAACCCCTAAACCCTAAACCTACCTACTCTTTTTACTTACTTTTGGGGTTCAGGTAGTTCTTGTGATGTGGATTCCCTCTGTCCACCGTAGCAGCGTCCAGGAGGAGCCGAAATGTGATATTCAAACGACTCCTGTTTGTTTAGGGTTTAGTGTTTCGGGTTGAGGGTTTTGGGTTTAGAATTTTGGGTTGAGGGTTTTGGGTTCAGGATTTTGGGTTTTGGGTTTAGGGTTTAGGGTTTTGGGTTTCCCGAGAATTGGGTGGGTTCCTATAATAACGGTCATAGGATTTCGAGGTAAACAAGGGGGCGCCCCTACGTTTGGAAATCGCCAGTGTGCACATATCTTACAGAACGAACGTCATCGCTGGTTGCTGTGCCGCTCAGGGTCTAGGGTGTTGTTATGGGCAAGTTGGTGACAGCATCAGAAAGAGCGAGTGTTGCAGTGTTGCGCAACTCGCAGTGCAGAAGCCGTTTCGCAGTCCCCATATGGTAGTTTCCCGAAATAGGGGGACCCCAATATAGACCCCATACTATAGTCCTTATTATGAGGACCACAAATAAGTACCCCTAATCTTGGGAAATCCCCATATGCAGCTTGTCCTCCATAGCTTTCCCTTCGTAAAGGAGCAGCGTGCAAAGCTTAGGAGCCGTTTCCAGTGAGAGCGCACAGTGGTTCAAACATTCTCGGCTCAAGCTGGACACTGGTGTGTCCTTCGCTGAAGCCGTGAGCATTCAGGTGAAGAATTGGCTCTGAGCTTCCGTAGCTTTGGAGCTTTAGATGGGTTACTTATCATGGCGATGGGTGCTTTTTCCCTTTCTGGTATGCGGAGACTGTGCAGACCACCTGTTGGTGTCTACTGGAGGCCGGCCACGGGTGCGCTTCTTAGCATGGCCCCCTGATGCAGAAGAAGTGATCGAGTGTGGCAAGCGCGAGCTTGACAACCTTTACGGCGTCACCCTGACGTTTCAGCAGCCAGCAGACGCAAGTGCCTTTCGGGAATTTCTGCCATCCGCCCCAGATGCCACTGTTTGCCTTCCATCCCCCTGTCTCTTTGAAGGTGAGGACGTAGGAGTTGTTGCCTATCTCCTATGCATTTCTGCCACCCATCGTGAAGCATGTCGGGGTCTCGTCAAGGGTCAGGTGGCCGGTTTTGCTGCTGTCGCAGTGACTGGGTTGCTATTAAAATACGTTACGAAACTTAAGAAACCTTACCATTTACTATAGATCTCAATTCTGGTAGCTCATTTTAAGTTCCTTAACCCAGCAGCCCAGGTGGATTTGGTGAGGCATTCGAAGCGTAATTTTGCAGATCAACGCTTCTTGCTGGTGGTCAGTAGGGACTGAAGGAATGGGTTGTCATCATTATTGTAAGGGTTTAGGGTTTAGGGTTTAGGGGGTTTAGGGGGTTTAGGGGGTTTAGGGTTTAGGGTTTTCAAGGGCTACTGTAGGGATCTACTGATCTATTCCCCGATTCACCACGCGCAAGTAGACCCTAAACCCTAAAAACCTAAACTCTAACACTCTGTAGCAGCTCCCATTTACTACAACCCTAACCCCTACAACCTGTAGTAGCATCCGTTTTATTTTCCATGCCTTAAACCTCAAACGTTACAAGTTATAATCTTATACTCGTTTCTATTTTCTGTTAAGCTCTAGCCTGTAAGGCTTCGAAGAGGAGGTCTCTGAGGGTGCCAAAGCTTTGCAGCTGGCATATCGGAAGGTAAAGGAGGCATCTCGTTCATAGTTAGACGAAAAGGTGAAGGGCTAAGGACTAACGTTTAAGGTTCGGGGGTAGGGTTTCAGGCTTGGGCCGTCGCATTTGGGGTTCAGGGTCAGCCAGATTTTCCTCGTGTAGTGCTCTGGAGCAAGAAGTTTGACTTAAAAGAACGCCTAACGTATAAGTCCGACAGGGAAACATTGCATATCTGATGTACCTAAACCCCAAGAGTGTGTAAAATAATAGCCTTAAACCCATAATAACAGCCTTAAACCCATAATAACAGCCAAAGAGTCAATTATTTTACATACTTTGGGGGTCCAGGTACTCCCTCCTGAAGTCCCTGAGACCTCAACCTCAGACCCTTCAATCCCTACGCCCTAGACCCTCAACTCCGAGCAGTTCACACGAATGCCAGGGTTTAGGGCCCAGGGGGTGGCCCGAAAAACAGGTCGCTAGTAAGTAGTAGGGAGTAGAGGACTTGATATATCCCTCAATAATGGAATTGTAGGGTTTAGGGTTGCTGCTGAGGAACTTAAATTAAGTTACCATAATGGGTAGACATAGTAAATAGTAGGGTTTCCCCAATATAGGGACCTAAATTAGGTACCTTAACTGCAACCCAGTAGTTTCGATTTCCCTGTCCTTTCCCTACTAGCAACCCTAGACCCTAAACTCACCCTAAGCCCTACACTCCAAAATTAGCCTAAACCTAACTTGTAACCTAACTTACCTTGAACCTTGAACCCTAAACTTAGTCTAAGGCCTCACACACACGCTTACCTGAAACCCTCTACTGAATCTAAACGCTAAAGTGAAACCTCAAACATATCCTAAACCCTGAATCCTAAAATCACCCTGAACCCTAAACGTACCCTAGAACCTCAACTTACCTTACACCCTGCACCCTGAACTCAGCCAAAAACTCAGGGTTTAGTGTTTAGGGTTGAGACCCCGCACCCTAAACCTCAAACTTGCCCAAAACCATAAACTTAGTCTAAACGCGAAACCTCAAACTCTGCCCTAAACTTACCCTACATCCTAAATCCTGAAACCTTGAACCCCGAACTATACCAGACCTAGGCAGAGGTCTTTGCGGCTCGGGCTGAATCGGCAGCTGCCCAGGCGATGCGTCGCGCACAAAGGCTTCGGGAAGGTTTGGAGGGCAGCCACCAGGCTTTGAACAAGTGATTTCTAGTGGGTTTAGGGTTTAGGGTTTAGGGATCCCTATTATAACACGGCACCTAATATCTAGGGTACCCAAAAAGAGACCATAATTTTGACAACCACCTATATGGGGTTGGGGGGGTTATCAGTTTAGGGCTTAGGGTTTAGGGTTAGATAGGTTAAGTTCTGAGAAGTGGGTTATTAGGGTGTAGGGTTTGAGGGGGATACAGGGGTGGTATAAGGGTTGTATGCAGTCATGTAGGCTGAGCAAGGGCTTAGGGTTTAGGGTTAGAAGTGCCCTAAACCCTAAACTCTAAGGGTTTGATGCTGAA